AGAGTCAATAGGTTCAGCCCACATTAAAGAGAAGGGTGTGAATAGCCAAGCAGAGATCATTGGGGGTCTCAGCCGGCAATCTGTCCTGCAGTGGTGCTGGCTCTTGAGGCTCACACAAGACTGCTTGTTCCCAGGTCTCCAACCCCTGCTGATGTGCAAGTGAAGTGCCTCTGCTCGCACTGGGGGTCTCATAGTGAGAGGGTGCACATCCTGGCTGTGCTGGGATGTCTTAAGGGCTCAAGCCCAGCTCCAGGCTTCACCAAATTCAGTACAAACCATCAACCCAATTATTATTACTAACCAGGGCCTTCTGCTCCCAAGCGACTCATGGACCTGAGGTTTAGACATTTGTTTTCGGTTAGTAGATTTCCTGGCATTGGCCAAGGGTCAGTGGTTCCGGAGATAAGCATGCAGTCAATCCAGATCACTTAACTCCTGTCATACAGGCCACTCCTATGACCTTTGATCAGGCCTTTAGAAAAATGAATCAGAGGCAGGGGTTGTGGCTCAGCAGTAGAGCACTTGCCTAGCACATGAGAGGCCCTGGGTTCGATCCTCAGCACTATATAAAAATAAATAAATAAAGGTATTGTGTCCACCTACAACTAAAAAATAAATATTTTTTTAAAAAAGAAAAATGAATCAGTTTTAGGGAAGGTGTGATGGTGCACACCTATGATTTCAGCCATGTGGGAGGCTGAAGCAGGAGGATCACAAGCTGGAAGTCAGCCTCAGCAATTTAACGAGGCCCTAAGCAACTTAGTGCGAACTTGGTTCAAAATAAAACATTTTTAAAAAAAGGCTGGGAGTATTGCTCAGTGGTAAAGTGCCTCTGGGTTCAATCCCCAGTGCTGCCAAAAAAAAAAAAAAAAGTCATTCATCTGGAGGGCAACCAGTCTCTGTCTACTTGACCTCTACGGAGTCACGCTGCATAGTTTCTGCTTAGATTCTACGACAATCTGTTCAGCTCATGCAGCCAATGGGCGTGGACCTCGGACTTCCCCATCACACTGGAGGTCTGTCTGTCTGTCAGCCATCACAGTCTCCATTTCCCTGGCTGTTGTGATTAGCCCACTGATGAGCACGCAATCCTCACCAGGCCAGAGACCTTCTCTGGGGTTGATATGGACACTGGGTAGGGACACAGGAGTAAATCTTTTCTTTGTAGGACTATAAGGATGTGGCCACCTTCGACATCCTGTGGTAAGAACTCACCTGAAAGTGAAGCTAATAGAGAGGCCACAGAGGTGGAGAGATGTGGAGAGAGACTCTGATTTGACAGTGTAACCTGGATCTAGCTAATGCCTGAAGCCACAGACAGTGCTGGGCCGTTAGTTTTTTGTTTTGCAGTAGCAGAGGTTGAAGCCAGGGCACTCTGCCACCAAGCCACATCCCGGGCCCTTGAACTTAACCCTCCTGCCTCAGCCTTCCAAGTAGCCAGGATTACAGGTATGGCCGCCGTGCCTGGCTGGACTGATAGCCTTATAAGTAAATCACTCCCCTTTAAGCGAGTTCTCATTGTGTTTTCTGTTCTTTGCTACTGAAAGAGCCCTTGGATACAGCCTGGGTGTGAGGAAAATACTAACAATTTCTAAAGGCATTTGGAGTTGGAGCCGCTTCTGTGGTCCCTGGAGCACTAAGCCCTTCCCGCTTCTCCATCTTTGTCTTAAACACAGGCTCCCATTTGGTGCCAGGCTCCAAGTGGGCACTGTCTTGTGGGGTTCCAAAGGCCCCTGCCTGAAACACTAGCTTTTTGCTTCATTCCTCCTACATCCTCTCTATTCCAGACCCCTGTAATTTGTCGTGTGGCTGTAGAATGGTATGTTCGTCATCCACTGAAGTCACATTTCTTTGTGAAACTCACCCTTCCGTGAGGTGTGGTCTTCACCAGCCCCAGTCCAGCCTCTCCAGTGGCTGTGTAGCTGGGTCAGCCTGAAACGTCATTGGTCAAAATTCTGGGGCTAGATGGAGTGCCTTCAGGGTGCCAGGGGCCATGCTAAGTGCTGGATATAATGACAGCATTTGGTTCTCATAACATGAAGGGAAACCAAGGCTCAGAGAAGTTAAGCAATTTGCCTGAGGTGTCAAAGCACATGGTGGAGAAGAGAGGAAGCCTGATCTGACATCAAAGCTCATCATCTTAGCTCTGTGCTTCCTGTTGCCGGGTCCTGAGCTGCTTCCTTCCTCCCTATCTCTCCACCATGATGTCTGGCTTCAACTCAGGCACAGAGCAATGGAGTCAGTGTTCTAGGGACTGAGACCTCTGAATCCAATGGCAAAAGGAGAGAGGGGATTTGGTGTTTATGAGCTGGGGGAAAGCAGGAGGCAGTCAGGGAGAAGACCAGGGAGATCTGGCCAAAGTCACTAACTTGGTTCTCCAGTACCCCCAAGATGGGTCTGCGGAGTCACACTAGTGAGTCTCCGTGCTTCCACATCTGAGAGAAAACACACGACCTTCTGAGTTTGTCTGATTTCACTTAACATAATGCCCCCAAGTTCCATCCATTTTCCTGCAAATGACATAATTTCATTGGAACAATTAACTTGTATGGAAAAAGGTCTTAAAGGTCTTCAGATGGGCAGATCATCCTGGGCTCTCCTGATGGGTCCATAAGCGCAGCCATTATTGTCTTATAAGGCAGAGACTTGACTGCAGGAGAGATAGGAGGTGGTGTGGTAATAGAAACAGGGAGACTAAAGCTGCTGCACTGCTGACTTTGAAGATGAAGGAAGAGGCTGCAAGCCAAGGAATGCAAGATATGCGGCTCTACAAGCTAAAAAAATGCAAGGGAATGAAGTATCCTATGGAGTCCCCAACAGGCTCCAGTAGTGCCAAGACCTTGGCTCTGGCCCGTTGAAATCTAGTGTGGGCTTCTGACCCCCAGAACTGTAGAACTGCTTCATGTTCTTTTAAGTCACTGAGTCTGTGGTCATTTGTTACAGCAACAACAGAAAATCACGACCTAACATTCTGACTCCCCCACTCCAAAAAAAAAAAAAAGAGCTTATAACCTTAGCCACTATCCCAGAATGATGCCCTATCTCGTGGCAGGAAGACCACCACAGGCCACCTCTCCCGCCCCTCACCACCCTTGGAAGATTTTGCCAAGCTGCCTGGGCCCTCTTCAGGTCTGTCGGGCCCTCCAACTCCACCATGCAGCACATCCCCAGCCACCACCCGGAGGTGGATCTGGAGGGCACATGAGATGACAGCCTAGCTGCTCCCCGCTGGCCACCTTTACCTGGATACCTGGGACTTCAGCAGGGTCATGTGGCTGGGCATACGCTCACTTCCTGTTCCCCTACTCTCCATGGACAGTGGAGAGGACAGGCCCGGTCTCAGCACAGGGAAGACCATTCCTGTCTGCTTCAGGGTCCCTGCCAGGCCTGGCTGCTCACCATTTTCCAGGGCAGGAGAGGACTCTTCTAAAAGTTCCTTCAGAATATTTTGCCAAATGACAAAAACATGGAAACTCTGTAACTGGACTTAGCCCTGAGAAGAGGGCTGCTGGGAGCCAAAGGCCAGCGGGATCAAGACGGGAGCTTCGCTCAGCTTTCAAATAAGCGCCCTGTGGGGCTTAGCATTGGTTTCAGCCTGGCTCGTGTACACTGTATGCTCAACTATCCCAGAACATTCGAACCCTTTGGAAGGCAGAACCTTTTCTTAGACCTCCACTCTGCCCCATGCAGGGAGCTAATGCCAACCCAGAGATCACCCCTAACCTTTGGACCCATCCATTTGCCTCTTGTGCCTGAAAGCAACCTCTCCCCATAACTTAGGCAGGCTTCCAGGCGCACACAGTGCGGCAGGCTAGAAATGCCAGGGAATTGGCACCCCTTGTCCAGGACCAGCCCTCAGCCAGTGCCTTCAGGGAGAATAATACCCGAGCTCCCACGCTCAAATGCGATACTTCTGAGATCTGGGTTTTGAATGGGTTCCCAGTGCCTCCCCATGGGACTAAGCTCCAGGTGCTGAGGGTGAAAGGTAGATTAATGCTGATCCCTGGACTGGCTGCCTCCCTTCTCCACCATTCTTCTCTTCCACACACCAATTATTTGGGAAGTCTCCCAAATAATCTCCTTGCATTTGAATTAGGGCCTGCTTCTGGAAGGATGCACATAGCCCTCACTCAATAAATATTTGTGAAAGGGAGGAATATAAGCAGCATTGTGAGGGTTGTTTTTTTTTTTTTTTTTTTGGTACTGGAAATTGAACCCAGGGTGCTCTACTACTGGGCTACATCCCCATCATTTTTATTTTTATTTTGAGAGAGGGTCTTGCTAAATTGCTGAGGCTGGCCTCCAACCTTGTGATCCTCCTGCCCTCCTGAGCCGCTGGGATTACAGATGTGCATCACCATACCTGCATTAAGGTATATTTAATGCTCCAGAACTTTGCTTAAAATGTTATTTGGGGGGTTTAATTCCCAGGACTCCCAAAAATGTTATTGGGGGGGATTAGGGAAGGACTATATTTATAAAAGCAGCAATAGTCCTCTGGAGACCTCCCACTGTAACCTCCCAAGGACGAAGTTCTAGAATCCACTGATTCTGAAGGTCATGTAAGTTTAAGTAGTGTGTTTAATTCAAAGTCTCCAGGATATTCAGGGCATTTTCTTGGGTCGACAGATGCATGCACTATATGAGTTTTATCCATGAACTTAGTTTGAGACTGAGAATTTACATAATCCACAGTTCTTTTCCTTTTGGGGGCAGATTATAGACAGCTAACTGTGATGAGAAATTACACAACAAAGAGAGATGCCAGTTTAAAAAAAAGGCAATTCTGGAGAGCACCGAGTCTGCTGAGTTGCCTGGGTTCTTCAGGAATGTAACTTTCCCAGGCACTTCGGAGCCTCGGGGTGAAGGAGAGGCTGGTCTTCTCCGTACTCCCTACTTTTACTGCATTCCCATACCGGTCTGATTTCCTTTTATTATGGTTCTTTTTAAAAAACATAAATTTGTGGTAAGGAGACACTCCTCAGTGTTGTGGGTAGACTTCACTCTGGCACAGCAGTGCCTACATCAGAGGGTAGGAGCTTCGCAGAGAGATTTCCTTCTAAGAAGTGATGAGAGCAGTCGGTTTTCGCCGCTGGTGGCCTGCTGCTGGCCCTGCAGTCCTTGTCTGAGAGGTAGGGTAAGTTCTCAGGGCTGTCCTCAGCAGAGGCATCCTCGTGGAAGCTCTTGAGAGCCAAAATCCGGTACCGCTTCCTCCGGTTCACTTTATATACGCGAATCCTTTCTTTTTCTGCCTCTGGGTCAGCGAGAATCCCATCCCAACGCAGGCTCTCGTTGATTTGGTTGGAAAGGTTCTCTTCCACTTCGGCAAAGGGGGGCAGGCTCACCACGGTGCAGGAGTAGGAAGGGCTGTGCTTGTTTGCCTCTTTGTCCGGTTTGGGCTCTGACTTGGCACCATGGTCTTTGCTGGGATTTAAGATGTCATGGAAGGATGAAGAAAGTGGCTGACTCTTCAGGCCTCGACTCTGATGTTTATCTGCTGAGCAGATGAAGAGGTTAGTGTTTGCGGCCATGTCTGCCCTGAGCCTGCCTGGGAGGATGCCTGAATCACCAAAGATGGAAGGGGCGTGGGGACCACTCTTCACCCAGGGCTCAGATTGCCAAGCCCACCAGTCTCTTATGCTTTGGGTTAAATCATCTGGGGGCAAGAGGAGCCTTTATTTATTTACTTACTTACTTATTTTGTGGTATTGGGGAAGGAACCAGGGCCTTGTGTGTACCAACCACACACCCTGCCAACAAGCTACACCCCAGCCCCGGGAACCATTGTTTGAGCACCTACTGGAAAGCAGGCCCTCCTGATAGAAGCTATCAGTCCTGTTCTCCAGGTCAGGAAACTGAGGACCCAAGAGCTTCATTAACTGCCAATGTCACACAGCAAATGGCAGAGTCGGATTCAAAGGTAGGACCTGGCTCTGGCTGCCCTGCTGCCCCCCCACTGAACCTTGCCCCAGGTTTACCAAGGTACTTTCCAGTCTGTGTCTGTAATTCGACTGCCAGTCTAGACACTTGATGATGGAAGAAATGGAGACAAGCAAAAAAGCTTCCTAAATTTGACTGATGCAGTTGGCTTCATGCCAAACCCGGAAATACTTCTGCTGTGTGGCTTGTACTATTTCTTTCTTTGTTCCTTTTTTTTTTTTTAAGTAGCTTTTCAGAATTATATGACATTCCTATAAAGTACTACAAGTTATGGTTCTTTTATCAGTTCATCCTTCTAGTTTTTAGGAGACAGAAATACCTCCCTCAGCCAAAAGGGAGGGGAGAGAGCAAAGAAAATAAGGGGAAAATTCATGTCTTGATATTTCTTTATCTTCTACACCCCCAAAACTATCTGGTGTCCCCTGCTGACAGTATGAGGTACATACCACCATAATTTGAACAGTGAAAAGTTATACACCAAAAAGACAATACACTTCCTGATTTTGCTTTGTGGATACACACAGGATCTTTGCCTTATACTCCAGAATTGTTTTTTTTTCCCCCCTGTCTTTTTATTACAATTCCACCTGAAGAAGCCATTATACCCTTGTCCTTGCTTCCTTCCCCAGACTACAAGGCCGAACAGGGCTGCCTGCCATTCCTCTGCCTCCTGCACACAGACAGCCAGATACCAGAAACTTGAGCCAGGAGCCAGTCTCACTGGAGGTCAGGGCCATTTCCCTGACGGTCAAATCCACTGAGCTGGACCACACAGGTGACAATGGAATCACTGTGCTCATGGACGGATGCATTCTACATCATTGCCGCACCCTCTCCTTGAAGTGGGCATTCAGGGCCTTTGTGGAGAAGAAATCTGGGGATCCTATGAGAAGAGCTTAGTGTGGTGTGGGGACTCTGCAGTTGTCATTGAGGCTGGGGTACCTGCGTGGGTATGCTGGGAAGCCCGCAAGGGTGTCTATGCATGTGAGTGTCTAACAGTATCTGTGTGTGTGCTGCCTGTGAATTATGTGCATGACGGGGTAGCTGTGCTTTAGTGTCATCGGATGGTGTCACCGACATGAGGATGTGTTGGGAAGGGATAAGAGGATGGGGCAGTGACAGGTATGCAGTGGGGCTGCCCCTTGGTGGATGGAGGTGGGGTCCACCCAGGGAGGATTCTTCCTAAGCATTTACCTGGGTGTGGGTGTCCACACAGCATCCAGAGGCAGGTGCCCCTTGATGCGTGAGGACGTGAGGACCACCTCTTGGGGGGGAAGGCAGGAGTCTGTGTTTCTGTATGTGATTGTCAGTGTCTTCAGGTCAAGAGAAGTCTCTCTGTGAGTGGTCTCTGTAGAGGGCTTGAGATTTCTGCAGGGAGGTGTGAGTATTAGGGAAAGAAGTTGGGCTGAGGGACTGGGAAGTTGAGAGGGTATCTGTGGGGCTGGTGGGCGAGGAGTTGAGGAATTATTGCATATTGGGAACTCTCGGTGCATCCATGTGGGGGTCTCTGCAAAGTTGGTGGAACTTCTGTGGCCTTGAAGGGGTCTCTTGGAAGGACAATCTCTGTGGACACGGTGGTCTTAAGGCGTAGGGCGGGACATCACTGCGCCAACCTAAGTAGCATGTGGAGACCAGGGGGCTCTGGATTGGAGCGTCTCTGTCTTGTTCCCAGCTCTCTCTGGGTGGAAGGTGGCACCTCTGGGAGGAGGTGGGTGTCCAGCGAGAGGAATCTCAGGGGGTAGCGGAGGTGGCCACGCTAGCTCTCCTCTTACCGTCCCCCTTGCCCGACCCCTTGGTCTTCTTCTTCTTCTTCTTTTTCTTCTTCACCTTCCGTTTGGCCGGTTCTGAGGTGCTGCCCGCGATGGGAGGTAGCTTGGACCCCGGAGAGCCCGCCGCGCCGCCCTCCGGCGCCTCCTCTTCCTCATCGTCCTCGCACTCCTCGCTGAACCCCGCAGCCCCGACCCCACCGCGGCGGCTCATTAGCCCGCGGGTTAGCCACTGGGACCCGCGGCTGGGCTGCCGGGCGGGACGACTCGGGCGCCGACTGCCGGGCGGGGGCCACGCGTCTCCCACGGCGACCGGCCGACCTCGCGCGTGCGCATTCGGAAAGCCGCCGCGGGGTGCAGCCCCCAGGACATCGTGTGCGCATGCGTGTTTCAAGATGTTGAAGACCTAGGACCGAGGAAAAAGGGTGGGAGAGGTTCTAAATCCTTGGGCTGACTTACCTCTCCACTCTATGCCGTGTTTTCTCCCTTTGGTGCTGGGGTCTGAACCCAGGGGCACTTTACCACCGAGCCACATCCCCAGCCCCTTTTATTTCTTATTTTGAGACAAGACTTCGCTAAATTGTTGAGGCTGGCCTCGAACTTTCCAGCCTCTTGCCTCAGTCTCCCGGGATTACAGGCATGCGCCCCTGTACCCGGGCCCATTCCTATGCCTTCTAAATACTATTTATTCTTACCTAAATTTTTATTGTGCGGGTTCCAGTCTTGTTTCGCCCTGATCTGTGGAAGCCAATATGTCCAAGTCAAACTTCACTGTTTCCCTTCTCAGTGAAGAAAGCAGCTGGATAGGCCAGCCCTTGGAGCTTTCCTGTCTCCCACTCGGGCGCTTTTGCCCTCACCTAGGCTAGGCTGACCGCCAAGGCTGTCACTTGGAACTGGCTCTCATCTTTCAAGCCCTCCCCTCAAGATATTTTTTTTGGGGGTGGCATGTGCCTCTAGTCCCAACCTCTCAGGAGGTTGAGCCCAGGAATTTGGGGCCAGCCTGGGCAGCCTATCTTTATTCTGTTTATTTATTTTCATGTGATGGTGAGGATCAAACCCAGCACCTCACATGTGCTAGGCAGCGCTGTACCGCTGAGCCCAGCCCCAGCCCCTCATCACAGTTCTTGTCAATACTGTTGGGTTGCTGTGGCTCACAGGGCCGGGATGATCTGCCGCCTGCTTTTCTTTTCAGGTGAACCCACCACAGATTGAATCATCCAAGCACAGCTGCGATAATATTTCTCATTCCACAAGCTCAGCTAGACTTTGGCCGTTCCCACAAGAGGCAGAGCCTACATCTACCCTCCCACACCGCCCCCTTTTAATTTGGGCAAGTTTGTTGACTAACTTGTAACCCAAAGAACACAGGAGGAGTGGCATTGTGTGTAGGACTTTTTAGGCTTGGTTGCAAAAGGTGGTACAGCATCCATCCACCTTGTTAGCCTATGACTTGAGTCTCCCAGTAAGATCCCCGAGGGCCCTGAGGCTGGCATGATTCCAGGAAGCCTCAACTATACACATGAAGAGACCTGACAGTATGTGAAGAGAGAGGTGCCCCTGTTACTCCAGCCCTTACTTTTCCACACTGAATAGCAGAACTGGGCACGCACCTGTAATACCAGCAATCTGAGACGCTGAGGCAGGTGGGTCACCAGTTCGAGGCCAGCCTGGACAACTTAGTGAAACCCTGTCTCAAAATAAAATCTATAAAGAGCTGGGGATGTGGCTCAGGGGTCGACCACCTCTGGGTTTAATCCCCCTACCAAAATAAATAAATAAATAATATAAAATAAATAAAAAATAAAAAGAGTTGGGGGTGTAGCTCAGTGGGAGGAATCCCTGGGTTCAACCCCTCAAGGGGGATCTGTTCTGCAGGAAAGACACGCCCCCCCAGGCCAGACCCCACCCAACCATTCTTTCCTAATTCCTGACTCAAGAAAACAGTGAGACAAAGTAGTGATTGTTAATTGTTTAAGTTACTAAGTTTCGGAGTGATAGAGTTTTGCAACAATAGATAACAGGGACAATACATAATATCAATCTTAGACTTTTGCCATTCTAACATATAAGAAGTTGTGTTTCTCTGTGGGGTTTTTTTTTTTTTTGTCTTGTTTTGCTTGGTTTTTGTTTTATTTTGTGTCTTCTTGCCGAGCTAGAAATCAAATCCAGAGCCTTGATCATGCTAGGTGAACACTATGCCACTAATCTGTGTCCCTGTGCCTCCCTGTGGTTTTAAGTTCCATTCCCTGATGACGAATGATATTGAGCAATTTTGTTTTGTTTTTGTGGTAGGGGGTGGGGGTGAGGGGTGTGGGGGTGTGGGGGGGTGAAGGGTGTGGGGGGGTGGAACCCAGGGCCTTGCACATGGGAAGCAAGCCCTCTACCGCTGGGCCACTTTACTATTGAGGTACATCCCCAGCCCTTTTATTGTTGTTACTGGGGATTGAACCCAGCAACACTTAACCACTGAGCCACATTCCCAGCTCTTTTTTTATTTTGAAGCAGGATCTTGTTAAGTTGTTTAGGGTCTCCCTAGGTTGCAGAGGCTGGCTTCGAATGTGCAATCATCTTGAGTTGCTGGGATTTTAGGCATGTGCCATCACACCCTTTTTATTTTTTATTTTGTGACTGGATCTTGCTAAGTGTGCCATCGTACCCAGTTATTTATTTTATTTTATGTGTTTAATATTTGTTTAGCTGTAGAGGACACAATACTTTTGTTTTATTTATTTATTTTTTATGCGGTGCTGAGGTTTGAACCCAGTGCCTCACACGTACATGCTAGACAGCACTCTACCACTGAGCTACAACTCTAGCCCCATGTTATTTATTTTCTTAATGGTTTTAAATGATGACATTTAAAATTCTGATGAAACAATTTTATTCATATTTTCTTTTTTGTATCTTGCCCAAGAAATCTTTGCTGACCCCTAAATTGCAAAGATGGTGTATTTTGTTTTCTTCTAGAAGTTTTATGATTTGTGAATTTTAACGTTAGGTCTGTGACCTATCTCAAATTAATTTTGTGAATAAAGTCAAGTAGGGACCAACATTCATTTTTCCCCAAATGAATACCCAGTTGTTCCAGGAATTTCCATTGAGAAGACATCCAGCACCCCTTGACTTGATTCAGCACTCGTGTAGAAAATCAGTTAACTATATATGTATGGACTATATATATATATATATATATATATATATATATATATATACACACACACACACACACACACACACACACACACATACATACTGGGGATTGAACCCAGGGCTCCTTTTTAAAAATAATTTTTTAAATATTTATTTTTTAGTTGTAGTCGGACACAATACCTTTCTTTTTATTTATTTATTTTTATGTGGTGCTAAGGATTGAACCCAGGGCCTCACACATGCTAGGCCAGTGCTCTACCACTGAGCCACAACCCCAGCCCACTTAAAATATTTTTTTAAAATAACAATAAATTTCTATCAACAACTAAAAAAAATAAATTAAAATTTAAAAAATATATTTTTATCTTTTTGAGATTTTTTTAATTATTATTATTAGTTGTTCAAAACATTACAAAGCTCTTGACATATCATATTTCATACATTTGATTCAAGTGGATTATGAACTCCCATTTTTACCCCGTATACAGATTGCAGAATCACATGGGTTACACATCCACGTTTTACATACTGCCATACTAGTGTATGTTGTATTCTGCTACCCTTCCTATCCTCTACTATCCCCCACTATCCCCCCTCCGCTCCCCCCAATATATATATATTTTTAATTGTGGTTGGACACGATACCTTTATTTTATTTATTTATTTATTTTTAATGTGGTACTGAGGATCGAACCCAGGACCTCACATGTGCTAGGCGAGTGCTCTACCACTGAGTCACAACCCCAGCTCCAGAATCCAGGGCTCTTTACCACTGAGCTACATCCTCAGTCTTTTTTATTTTTATTTTTATTTATTTATTTATTTTTTTGAGCTAGGGTCTCACTGAGTTGCTTAGGGCCTCATTGAGTTGCTGAGGCTAGCTTTGAACTTGAGATCCTCCTGCCTCAGGCTCCCCAGTTGCTGGGATTACAGGATGCACCACCACGTCCTTTCCAGTTTTCTATTTGTCTGTCCTTCCACGATACCACCTTGTTGTGCTTATTTGCCTTAATAGTAAGTCTTGATGTCATACAGTCTGTTTCCCAATTGAGTTCTTTTCAAATATTATTTTGGCTGTGCCGGAACCTTTGCTCTTCAATATACATTTTCAAATCTTCTTACCTATTTCAAAATAGCCTGTTGAGATTTTGATGAAGACTGCATTAAATCTATAAATTTTGACACTGTTAGTATTCAGTAAATGACTGTCATTAATATTGATCCACAGACTGCATGTGTGGCTGGTCTGTACTCCACAGGGCCTTTCTATTAGTTTATGTGTGTGTCCTCAGTCCTTCCACCCATTGTCAAGCTCCTTAATGTGTCCAACACAGTTGTGCTTCCGTAAGTGTTCACTATCTGCCTCTTGCCTGTCTGCTTTTGTCCTTAGGAGCAAAGTGAAATATAAATGACAGACCTCCTTTGTGCAATTGACTAGCTGCTAGTTGAGATGTCTGGGGCTTGCTTTTCAGATGTCCTTCTGTACTCACTCTCGCAGACAGGTGCTTGGAAGGGCTGGCTGCACTCCCGCCTGTCTTCCCTCTCAGTGGCTGGTCCTCCTTGCCTGAATGCTTGGCTGGCTGGAGACAGCTTGGCCATTTCTCTTCCAATTTTCTTGAAGGTTGCGTTGAGGTTCTGTAGAGCTAGCCAGTGGGCTATGAAAGAGAAAAGTCACCTCCAGCAAATGGATATGTTTTATGATCAATCGTAAAATGCTTTGTAAGGAAGGCTGTTTTAAATGTTTCTGCATTTCAATTGTTGGTCTCTTCATCTGGTTCCCATTTGCTGTCTCCGTCTCCTCCTTGTCCTCTTCAACCCACTGCGACTGGAGATCTAGCTCCATCGATTTACCAAAACACATCCCAAGGTCACCTACTGGTATTCTTCCATGTCACTGAATCCAAGAGGCAACCTCTGTTCTTGTTGTCCTTGACTTGTCAGCAACACTGGACACTGCTGATCTCTCCTTCTTTTTTGAAATAGTATATATGCCTGGTTTGGGGGATACCATGTGCTAGTTAGTTAGCTTCCTATTATTCTCATGATGAACTGAGATGAATTAAC